CGAGACCCTACCCCGAAACCCGAAACCCCCAACTCCGAAACTCAAACGCCGGAGTCTAACCCATTCAACCAAAAACCCGAAACAACGCCGAAACCCCAAACGTCTTAAAGGGTTTAGGGTTTAGGGGTTAGGGCTCAGGGTCTAGGGCTTGGGGACCCAACACTGCGCAGAAATCTGCCAACAGGGCCTCGGGCTCAAGAAGCTGACAGATCGCCCAGCCGTGTTCGTCCCACCAGGCATCCAAAGCCTCCCGAGAGGGGATCCGGTCTTCGGGCATTTGGGGTTTAGGGGTTTAGGGTTTAAGGTTTAGGGCTAGCTTAGGGCTTAGGGTTTAGGGTTTAGGGGTTTAGGGGTTTAGGGTTTAAGGTTTAGGGCTTACGGCTTAGGGTTTAGGGTTTAGGGTTCAGGGTTTAGGTGTGACTTCGAGGTTAAGGTTAACCCCAAAAGCTTAAACCATGTAAACCCTTTGACCAAAAGCCGCTAAACCCAAAACCCAAAACCGATTGATTAATGATTAAGGCTTACGTTGTAAACACTTCAGGACGCAGGGGCTTCAACATTGTTTTTTTACACTATCTCTGGTCTTCATGAGGCTTCGACACTTCTGGACAGGGCTTTGGGGCTTCGCGTCTTGGTCCGCGGGTGACGAGGATCTTGAGCTGTAGGCCTTGAGGTCCTTTGTCAGGGTTGGGCTTGCTTAAATAAGCCGACCATCCCTAAAACCCTAAACACCGAGAAGCCTTCCACTGTGTGGCGTAGCTGCTGGACACGTAGTGGGCACGATTCTGATATAAGGGCTCATAGCTCTCCTTCTGGAACTGGGAGGAACTGGGTTTAGGGTTTAGGGTTTAGGGTTTGGGGTTTAGGGAACTGGATTCCTTTTCGGGCTCCCGTAGGGGTTTGGGTTTAAGGTTTAGGCTGGCATTTGCTTTGACTTCTCTCCTGTTTTGGGAGCTGACTGTGTTGGCGTGTTCGCCTTCCCTCGAACTTAGGATTAGGGTTAGGCTTCATGTATGTACGGTGTGGCGGGTGCCCTGGGGAAAGAGGACCCTAAACTCCAGTCTCTAAGCCCTGAACCTCAGAGTGTTCGGGGTTTGAGTGATGGAAACCCTTCTTGATATTCTGGCTATCAAACCCTCAAGCCAAAAGAAGCAAGGCAAGGGAAGGATGTGGGGGGCGGGGGGTTCAGCATTTATGGCGAGCTTGGGCAATGTGACAAGTGTAGGTCTGAGTGCGTTGGTGGTTCTCGCATCCAAGCTGCCGATTCTCCTTCCCCCTGTCCGACTGAGGTTTTCCAAGCGCTCCTATCCCCTCAACCCTAAACTCATCCCTAAACACAAACGCTCTAGGACCATTGTCCTTGCCGACAAGGAGATAGATAAGCTACCTTACAGCTATGTTGGGCAGCGGGTGTTTTGAACTGAACGCCTACCATGTGCAATAGCATCCAGGTAGAGGAGCAAAATCCAAGAAACCCTCACGCTCTGAATCCAAGCTCAACCCTTCATAGCATAGCATGAAGACATAAGCACAGTGCTAGCTAATCCAACAACACTACCGGTGATGACCAACATCGCGGTGATGTGTTAAATTTCTTCGGGGGCTGCGTGCTGGGGGCGACAAGTGTTCAGAGACAAAGTTGCTGCGCAGGCGGTTGCGGGAAGTGTTCTGATTTTCTTTGTCGGGGCCGGATTCCGAAAGACAGTTAGAACACTTATTGAACAAGTGTGGCTGGTTGAGGGGCAAGGTAAACCCGGACTCTGTGGATAGCATCGTTCTTTTCAGCACGTCACGTTGCTGTTGCTTCTGCTTTCTGTCGTTGCTTCGCAACCCGTGGTCCCTCGAGGGTGATTTCAGCCAAGTTTTTACGGGTGGGTCTAATCAGTACTAATCAGAATTCCACGGCGGGATAACATGTCAAACTGTAGTCCTACTTTCCTTGTGCTGGCTGCTGGCACACCACATCTGGGGACTTCTTCTGACGCCCACAGGGCGGCAGGGCCTGCAGGGTGTCCAGGCAAAATGCGGGGCCCTGAAGCCCGGGAACAGAAAGGACCACACACTGAAAAGTGGCTGCTGCTGTGCCGGCTCGGATCATCCGTTACACTCTGCTAACCGAAAGATCCATGGTACACGGTAGTACACGGTACTCAACAATTAGATTTGTATTTGGGATGAGGATTATCAGAAAGTATGAAAGACACGAATAATACTGGAGTGCTGGAGGTACAGTAGTGGTCGAGGCAACTCTGAGGACGGTTCAGGACTCAGGATTACATGAGTATTCATTGGGTTACGGTTATCTCAGAATCTCAGACCTTATAAACCCTACACCCGGGACCCTGACCCAAGCCCTACTCGTTTCCAGCGCTAAACCCGTAAATAGTACTTAAATTAACTCTCAACCCTTCACAGTCACAGAACCCCTGAATGAGTTAATGAAACCAAGCCAAGCCATTATTACTACTTAGATTAGACCCCGATTTCACTGCGTGCCGGCATGGCACCAGCTGAGCTGCTCTTAGCCAGCCCATTCAGCTGATCAGCTGATCAGATCGGGCCGATCGTCAGCAGATCACTGACCCACTTGCGCACAAGGCGTTGCATGGCATGCGCTGACGACAGCTGACAGTTTGCTTTTGGAATAGTTGTTAAATACTGTAAGTCCGGAACTTGCGTAGCAATTTCGTAAAAGTGCGAAACACCAAAGTCGAGACCCTATAGAATCTATAGTCTATAGACCCCGAGAGCCCTAGCCCCTGGCCCCTGGCCCCAAATCCCTAATCCCTAAGGCCCTAGGCCCTAAGTCCCAAACCCTAAAACTTAAAACCCAAACGACCTCGAGAACCCTGGACCCTGGAGCCCGAAAGCCATAAACCCCAAACCCCATGAACGAGACCCATGAACTAACCCTAGAGCCCGAGAGCCTTGAACGGCTCTAATTCATTAACCATAAGCCATAATCGCCATATGCCCCAAAATCAAAACCTTTTAGAACCCTAGAGTCCCTAGAGTGATAAACCCCAAACCCCCAAAATCGAAACCCTAGAATCTTTACAATCTTGGACCTTGGACCTTGACAGTCATGAGCTTGGAGCCTGGACCTGGAGCCCTAAACTTTAAACCCTAAACTCAACCCCAAACTTAGACTGAAGTTGACTGCAGCGATTGCAATGCCTTGTGGCATGCATGAGGCAGAACCGTTGAACTCATGCTCAAGGCTCAAAGCCCAAAAGGTGCACTCGATTCATACACTCGGGGACTCCAGAATCCCAGAGCCTAGGCCTAGGGCCTACGGTGCCGGCCTACACTGAGGCCTACAGGGCTACAGGGCCTACAGTCTACAGTACTACAGTCTAGAGTGGTCCAAGGCTGCCTTTTCGTTTCGGGATTCGGGGCTCAAAGGCCGGATCAGCAGACTCAAGTCTACAGCGAAGCATTTCGTGATGATTGAAAGAATGCCTCGAAAGGCGGTAGGCCTAGGGCCTAGGATATGGCAAAACAGCTTTAAACAAGGACATTTGCGGTTTGGGTCAGACGGATGTTAGCACCAGGCTAGTGATAGTCGTGCTGGTGGTTCCCGGCTCCCGAGACCAAAGGTCCGAAACTCCGAAACTCCCGAAACCCCGAGGCGAAATCGAGGAAAACACAAGACCCGCTCACTGACTCACTTTGCTGTCTTGGCTTGGCCACCAAACAACTTCTTCTTGGATTCGGACTGGGACTGCGCGGCCGCGGATTCCTCATCCTCCACGTGCTTGCGCTTGCGGCCACTGCCACTGCCATTGCCATGCTTTGCCGATGCCGCTGCCTGTCGGGCCTGTCGCTTGGGTTTTGGATCAGCCTTGGACTTGGCCGACTTGGCATCGGCCTTCGCCGTGGCCGCCATGGCCGTGGCCTTTGCTGCTGGG